CTTTCTTCTGATTATCTTCATCATATGATATGAAGTGTGAACAATCGCTATATAAATAGTGAAGTTTATTTACTTAGTATCGATGTAGACAACCGAGAATAAAATACAAAGAAGAAGCAAGATTAATTAGAATATGAATTCTTTTTTATATCTGTTATCACATTAATATTGATGTTGACAAGTAAACAATTACACTTTCAATTATATGTATATGATAGATTTATAGGTTTTAAATGGAACTAACTAAGATGAGAAATGTTTCATGAATATAAAAACAAAACAAAAAAAAAAAAAACAAAACAAGATATTCTGCTTTTTCTTTTTTTTTGATTGTCATATGTAGAGATAAATATGGCATATATTATAGAGTTCGTTGTTTTTTTTGTAAGATAAAACTAGTTTTTTGATAAAATATATGTTTTTTGTTATATCGAATATCTTATTCATTTATTGTCTCGTTATCGAGAAAAAGAAAGGAAGCGAAATGAATAATTGCTATTTACCAAAGATATATATGTATATCTAATATTTAAAACAACAACAACTTACTCGGGAGGATGTAAAAATTGCTGATTAGTATTATGTTCATTTGTTACATCGTTACTATATATAATATTTGAATTATGCGATTCACCTGATGAAATTTTATTAAACAAAAAAATAAATAAATAAATAAAATTCTTTCATCTTATTCTAAAATGTACTCACCACAGTCAAATACAATCTCATTGTCATTTTCATCTTTATTGCCATACTAAAATGAATGAATATAGAAAAGTTTTGTGTTTTTTTTTTGTTTTTTCTTCATCTACATTGAAATATAACATCTGTGTTTTTTTTTAATTTAATTCCTGTTCGTCTTGTCATTGTTTTATTGTAACAAGAAATCTTCATTTCTTATTTCAAGTGTTAACCTTATTGTTTGTATTTCATCTCCTTGAATTCAATTAAAATAATATTGAATTTAGTATCCTTAGATTTTTCTTTTCATTGTAATTCAAAGATTCTGTCTCGATTTAATAAAATCGAGAATGTATAAAATAAATACGCATATATTCATTTTAAATGATGAACTTATATGAAAAAGCAAGGTCAAATGACAAGACATTTCCTTTTCTTTAGATTTATTATTATTGTCAATTTTAAGATGAAAAAAAAAAAAAACTGAAAGGCCGATATTAACAAATCAACGGACATGTGTTTAATGAGGTATTTCTCTTTATTTTTTAGTAAACGAATGGTACATGAATTAAAAATTGATGCTATTTGCTTTTTCGTTCTTGCTATTTAAACATGCATGCGTGTAGACAATGTTATGATTGAATTAGAGCGTCCATACCAATGACGGACGTGCCATGTGATGGTCTGCATGTAAAATTGATTCTCGTCACACAACAATCATATTTAAGAGAAAAAGAAGACAAATCACCAATGATCGAAAAAAATTTGTCATCATCAGTCAAGTTTTTTTTATTTTTGGGGTGTGGTTTTTTGTTTTTGTTTGTCTATTGAGAATAGACTATAGATCAAAATTCAAATTTACATATCTTTAATTTCAATGTTTTTTTTCTTTTTTGTTCATTCATCTTTTTAAAAGGTGATTTGACAAGAATACCTTCAAATCAGTTCAATGAAGAGAGATTATCAAGTAGTATCAATATTACCATGAACTATAAATCTATTTAGACAGAAAAAAAATCAAACATTGTTGATGAATATGGCAGAACAAGGATGAATAATAATAATAATAATAATAGGTAATCATCATCCATAGAAGTCAACAGACAGTTCATGCCATCCAGACATATGAAGAACAAGAATAGAAAAAAAAGGTCAAAAACTATCAATGATGTGATTCTCATATGTACTTATAAATGTGTGCGTGTAATACGATGCAACGTCTGACATGACCGTGATAAAAACACACACACACAAACTCATTTATTCATTCATTCCGTCTGGCTTGACCATCAGTATTGACTATGTTTTAGCTATATCATTACACACTGAAAATGTCATTGCCATCATTGTTCTTATTCTCACCAAAAAAAGAAAAAAAATAATCGCAGACAATCAGCCCTATGCTATTAATAATAACAAATCGATACTGTCGGCACTCATCATTATTACTGTCTCGACAATAGTAGTATATCTACGTTTGTGTATCAGGGTCAAACAATAATAAACTTTCTCTTCTTCCTTTTTTTTTTTTTTTTTTTTTTGAAACCAACAGTATTAACACTTGACCTTCGCTGTGTGTATGTATATATATATATACATATATGCGCAGTTTTGTTGAAAGCACGCGTGCCGCTTTTAGACAAACAATTTTCGTGACTAATGATAAGCTCATCTTAGCCGACATACTTACTTTTTCAGTTAGTTGAGATGAATCATCATAATTGATGTGTTGTCGCTGTTGAAATGAATTATTATTGGTATTATTATGATCACTACTATCATCTGACTCTGTTAATGAAGTAGATGATTGAGATAATGTTGATGATTGTTGTTGATGTTCACGGTTGACATTATCAAGTAAAATATGATTTGATACTGTTGAAAATGATGGACGATGTTGTGCAGATGATGATGATAATGATGGTTCTATAAGATTATGTAATAATGATGGTAGACTACGACGTCTTTTAGTACGTGAAAATAATTGTTTTTGATCATGAAGATTTTTTGATAATGATAATTGTTGATTATCATCATTATTTGAAATTGATTTTAATAAAGGTCTTTTACATACTGAACAACATTTAGATGTATTTTCAGATGATGTTGTTGTTATTGTTGCTGTTGATAATGATGATGATGTATTAAGTTTTGAAACAAGAACACCAAATATTGATGGACGTTTTTTATTTTTAGATATTACATCAAGATTAGGATAATTTTGACAAGCTAGACATGAATGTTGTTGATATTTAAAATCCGGTTTTGTAAGTGATATTTTTGACATTGAATGATTCCCCGAGCGAAATGTTAGTGATTGAAATAGACGTGAAAATGTCTCTTTTGACAAGCTTGACTTCGATGTTGCCGATAGTTTTCTTATCTTAGATGATAATATATTCATTGATTCATTATTATCATGTTTTTCTTCATGTAAATTTGTTTTTGAACCAAGTGCAAATGAAAAACTTCGCTGTTGATTTATTGGTATTTCCATATGTCCTAATGATTCATTTTTTTTAAGTGATAATGTACGTGAAATTGATGTACGTTTTAATTCATTTTCTAAAACTTGATCAAATTCATTAAGTATAGAAACATGTCGATTATCATCGTTATCATTATTATCATCATCATCATCATCATCATTGTTATTAACACAAATTTGTGGTATTGATACTGGTATTGATGATTGTTGTTGTTGAGTTTTACCTTTAAATTTACGCATTGTAATAGTAGATGATGTTGAATCGGTGACTAGTAATTGTGTAACTGAATGTTGATTATTATTTGATTCTGCGAAGTGCTGCTTATGATGTTGTAGATAACGACGAGCTTTATTCGAACTTGTCATTATTGGATTTAATGCTATGCGACCTGTAATGATGATGAAAGATTATCTTTCTTTTCTTATATTAGATATAGTAGACAAGAGTGTTCACTATCAGTAAAAGTAATAATAGAGACACAGAGAAATAGTAGTCGAAATTGTCTCGTGTGTTCTGTTCTCTTTTTATATAGGATGAAAGAGCAACGACAAAAATTGAATATAAAGAGCGAGAGAGAGAGAGAGCGAAGAAAAAAACACAGTAAACAGTAAGAGAAAGGGTTCATCGGACATAGAAAAAAAAAACTGATGATAGAATCAAAAATTCCATTACATCAATTTTAGACGATGCTTTTTGAATGCGTAAAATATCCTACATCTCTTATCTCTTATAATTTTCTTTCATTTCCTGGATATAACAAAAAAATTTGAGTTAAAAAAACATAAAAACATCCTTTATAAGAAATCATATATATTAAGTTACATACAAATAAATAGATATATAATAGCTGTCAATATGAAAATATATGATTTGTTTTTTTAATCAAATTCTATAATTTCTTATTCACTAGTGACATAGAATAAAACGACTCATAAGAAGGCAAAAAAAAAGAACACGGTAAAAATACTTGAAGCTGACAAAATATTTCAAGTTTTCCTTTTTCTTCTCATTTATAGAAGATGAAGGAAAAATGCAATCAAAAAAAAAGACATCGATTATGCATGAGAAAACTTTTATTCTATTTTATTTTTTTGACTATTTTTTTTATCAATCTAGTTGATGTGGTATTCAACATACTTTATTCATTGAATATAATTGTCATTTTATCCGATAGGCATCTCAGACATGACAATATATATGTTCTGCTATTCGAGATTCTCTCTTGACTTTTTTCTCTCTCTGTCTCCAGTTCTGTCTGTCTGTCTTCAATTGTTTGTTCGATATGCGACACAATATCAGTAGACCAAACAAAAGACCATACATTCTTTGTTAAAGAGACTAAAATATCAACAGTCGTAATACTATGCTTCTATTGCATTCAATGACTTGAAAAAGAGAATGAAAACAAGAAAGTGGTAACGAAATAATCGTTTGTTTAGTAAATGGGTATATTATTGGTGGTACCGTATGAATATGAAAGGTTTCAGTTTCGTTCGTGTTTGTTCTTCGTCATGTTTCAACAATTGTATGTCCATAATGATGAATTAGAGAACAGAAAAGAAACCAGATTAAACTAACAAAAACGTTTATTTTTGATCTAAATGTTTCTAGCATTGTCATTTGTTTTTCTATTAAAATTTTCACAATAAATGTTGCGCGTTACTCATATACATATGTATTTTTTGTCAAAAAAAAAAAAGTTCGAGATAATGAAAATTCTTCAAATTTTTTATCCGGTTTATATATTTTCACATAAGTTAATATGAACAAACATGAAAGAAAAAAAAAAAGGTACATTTTATTATTCTATTTTTTGTATGTTTTAATTTCTTAATCAAAATTGATTTGTTGATAATGAAATTTCATCATTGCTCGTGATCGATATAAACGACAATGTGGTAAAAGATAATGGACAAGTAATTGTTTATATAAAAGTCGTTTTTTAACTCGTATCATTCGAAAACGAATTTCATCAGAATTATTTCCATTTAAATCTTTTTGTTTACATATTCGAATCTTTAAAAAAAGAAAAAATAAATAATAATTTTTTTTTTTTTTTTGTTTAATATTCAATACATACAGCTAATCTTTTTTTATCTTCATATCCACGTATATTCAAATTATCTATAAAATAACAAAGAATTAATGTTTCTTTTAGAAAATTAAATAGAATTTAATATTTACTAATTAAACTTTCTAATAATGCTAAATCCCATATACTTTCATAATAATCATCAATATCATCATTCATATAATTTTCTTGTAATGTTTTAAATATAATATTATAATCAGGTGCTGAAAGTAATTGACATATACAAGCAACTTGTGTATGATAACCTAACAAAAAAAAAAAAGAAAAACATAACATAAGATTGTTTGTTTCATTCATAATTAATAGTGAATTTTTTCCAGTTGACTTCTATTTAGTTTTCTTTTGATCATAATCAAAAACAAAAAAGTAGGATAAACTTTGGCATCAAAAAAAAAAACCAACAACTAATGAATTAACAAAAGATTCAAGGGAGAAGAAGAGACTAGAAAAAGAACCTTTGATAATAGTTTATAATGACGTTTAAGGTTCATTGAATGTATAAATGATTATCAGAATAAATTGTATAGAAAGATCTTGCGGATAAGAGCTCGATTATCAGTCTCGAGGTTATCAGATAAATCCAAATGAAGAATTATTCTATCCTTTCTCTCTCTAGGAATAATATTCGAAGGACAACAGGAGGCTTTCGAGGAATCAAACTTTCAAGATCAACCTTGTTTTCTTTTTTGATTAGATTATCTGAAAATCTCGCAATTAGCCTATGAATTTTTTTGAAGTCAAACAAAATTAAACTTTTTTTTTTTCATTCGAGATCTCGTAGAAATTTTCATAGAATAGTATTTTATCTAATATCAAAAAAAGAAATCAAAAGAACAATGTACATTTTTAATTTTTCGAAGATTCTTTCCAACTAGAAATATTCTCAATCGTATTACCAATCTGTTTACATATGTTCTACTTGAAAATCTAGAATTCACATTAATCTTCTTCTCTCTACAATTATATAACTTTCAAATAATTGATAATATAAAAAAAAAAAAATTTTTACCAAGTTGTAATGCAGCTTTAATCATATTTCTAATCATCATATCATCTGGTTGAGTAATTATTAATGATGAAAAAATAGATGTTTCAATTGATATTGCATTAATATAAGCATGCATAGCTGGTGTATATTGTTGTAATGTTAAATAAATATCAGCTTGTGTACGATATAATGAAGATTTTATTTGTATAGGTAAATATTTTAATGTTTGAATATGTTCAAATATAACTTGCATAAGTTGTCCTACTGTTGATATACGTATTGAACGTTGTCGATAATCAATTGATGTTGGCCAATATCGTGAATATTCAGAGTAAATATCAACATGTGATTGTTCAACAAGTATAAGTGAATAAAGACGTGATAAAAGTGAAAATATAATTTGTATTAATATTGGATGATGAATATTAATAAGAAATTTTTGTAGATCAACAATATTTAATTTATCATTTAATAAATTTGTTTGTTGATGACGATTTCTTGATTGTTTATTACTAGTTGATCCTTGAATTTTATCTGATAATATATCTAATATTCGATCCCATAATTCTCGAGCAAGTTCAGAACGTATTTGTGTTTGATTTTCATTATTTAACAAACCTATAAATTATGTATTATTAAACAAGAAAGAAAAAAAAGAACGTCATTTAAAAGAACATACGCGCAAAAACTTTAGCTAATTCAAGATAAGGACGAGTTCGACGTATTGTTGGCATTAATGATTGTATAAATTGAATTTCATTACGTGATAATGCATAAGCTAATGCCATACGTACAACATCTATATTAATATCTAAATATAGAAAATGATGTATTTTAAATGAATCATTCAAGTGAAATTAATCAAAGATTTCAAGCTTAAAAATAATTAAAGGAAATTCTTTATTCTAAGAAGATTAAAAAAAAAAAGAACAAATATGAAATAGATCTATTTTCATAGGAAATATTTCTTTTGATGTGTATTTACAGTATTTTCAATTATATTTTTACGATATTGAAGTCAACAACAAATAATAGAATCTATAGTATATCTTTTCAAAAAAAAAAATGAAATATTTACCATTTTCTGAATGATTTTCTGTAAGAAAACTTTGACATTTTTCCCATAAATTATTTTCATTATCAAGAAATATTTGTTTTGATATTGTTTCATATAAATCAAATAATAATCTATCATAATGAAGATATTTAATAACTTGTCCAATAGACATATCTTGATGATGAATTGGACTAAGAATATCAATAGCTTGTGTTAATAATATATGACATTGAGTATAATTCTTAAATAAAAATTCAAAAATAATATATTAAATATTTAACTTTATTATTTAATACTTTATATAATTTTGCACGTTTAGCTTTTTCATGAAGTATACGAATTAATTGTCCAAGTAGATGATTTGTATTCATAATCATATTCAATGGTTGATCAAGTGGTATTTGCATTATCGACTAAAACAAAAAAATAAATTATCTTAAAAATTTCATACTAAAATTATTTACCGGTGGAAATAATTCATTAAATATTTGAGGTAATTTTGCATTATCTAATTCTGTAATAGTTTCTAACAATATTTGAGGTTCCGAAGAATGAAGTAGACGTGTTTGACATTTAAATTGTATAGAACCTAAGGATATTAAAAAAAAAACATAATTTTATTATCTTTCCATCAGCATTTTATCCAGAATGTTCTCTTTGGAAAAGGTGAACTCGATCTTCGAAGGATCATCACACTAGATAAAACACTTCTTCCCATGTAAGTCAAACCGAACAAAAATCCCCGGTAGTTTGATATTTAAACGGTCGCCTATGTTCTAATCGGCATGTTGCCACGGTGTACTTATAGTTTTATTCCCCGGTCGGTAATCTATTTTCGGAAAACTGATGGCTGTACGAATCAATATGCAATATGAGTTTTTATTCAAATACCATTAGGTCTTTCGAGTAAATAAGATCGTTGTATTGTTTGTTGTTTTTTTGAATGCCAATTTGGAATAGAAAATGTTGGGCCAACAAGATGAGCAAATTTATCCGTACGTAATTGTTCTTGTAAACTTTTTGTTAAATTATAAAAATGAATTCTAACAAAGAGAGAAAGAAAATAATTTTCTATAATTAAATTTATTATATACTTTAAAAAACTGTTCAATAATAATCGTTGTTTTGGTGTTATTTGTTTTAATCGTTGAAGTGCCTTTCAAAAAAAAAAGATAAAAGTTAATTATTAACAGAATTTTTTTATTTTACTTACTGTTTCAAGATAATCAAATGCATATTGAGTATTTGATATGTGTTTACCATCGAGTAAACATCGAATTAGATTAAATGAACATACAACTTTATATTGTTGTGATCCACTAAAGAAATGAAATTAAGAAAGATAAAATTAAAAAAAAAAACCATCCTACATTTCAAGACGTTCTTCTAATCGATATCGAGCAGCCATAGTCATTTCTTTTTTTTCATTATCTTCTGCTAATATGGAAATATAATCCTAAATTTTAATTATAATAATTAAATTCAATTTAAAATTTGAGGTTTTTTGTTTTTTTGTTATTACTTCAACAGAAGCACGTGATGGTGGTATACCCATAAGAAAACGTTCTTTAGATTTTTGTAAAAGACTTTGTTCCATAGATGGATTTATTGAATGAAGTGCTATTAAATATCCATCAAGTGATGAAAAATAATTTGTTGATTCTAATTGATTTCGTAAATCATTAACACGTCGAAACATTGTATAAGCATTAACATAATTTTGTTCATAAAAATATATTGAACCAAGATCATAAGCAATCTATTACAATATTTGTTTTTTTTTCTCCATTATTTATTTATAATAATAATAATAAAAAAATTCTTACACGTGCAAGACATTCAACAAGTGGATAAATTTCTGTACGAGACCAATCACATGGTACAATACCATTTTCAATATCAATTAAACCAAAACACGCATCTACAGGTATGCGTACGACTGATGTGCATTCTAATAAAACTTCTAATGCTTGGATACTTTCTCTCACCTTTGCACGTGCCATTTCAATTACATTTTCATTTGGTCCACGCATATGTTGTAATGGATTTACATATCCAGCTCTAAAAAAGAATAAAACAAAAAAAAAAAGTTTTTCATAAAAACAAAAAATCAAAATTAAATAAATCATACACATTAACTTGAAAAATTTTTATAGGTTTCGTTGGAAATGATGATTGAACACATGTTCTTACAGTCCTTAATAATAATAATAATAAATTGATTTAAAAGAATAAATTTTATTTTATTTTTTTTCTTCTATACAAACCATCTATGTAATAATTGTACAGCAAAAAGTGCTGGTTCATCAAGTCTACTTAATTGTTGTAATTGTTCACGATCTTTATAATTTTTATCACTTTGAGTTGTCAATCGTACGAAACAATGAATCAGATCTGATGCAACCGCAACAGGAATACTAGAATATATCAACATATGAGATCATCCTTGAAAATAACAAAATCCTTATTGTTTTTTCAACCGTTCAATATAGCGCACGCTATACCGATAATGAATTGGCAATAGTTTGATATTTAAACAGTCGACTTCCTTATAATCGCCATTCTACTAAAGTATACCGATAGTTGTTCTCTGACTACTGAAGTTCGTCTCGAATCCGAACCCGATAGGCTCTACTGCCGGTTATAATTGGTGATAGTGCGAATAAACGTGCAAATGGAAATACGTAATTACTAAATGCTTTCAAATTAGTTACGATCACGATTATCATTACATTTGAGTATGAGCGTGACTGTGTTCACCTCTCGTGACTGTGAATAAGTATCTTGTTATTATGATTAGCTAATTATCATTTGCGAACATATATAAAATGAAATTGAAGTATAATAAATTTATGTACTTTAAATAAAATGATGGAGTCAAATATAAAATTAAAATAGCTAAAGTACCTGAAGTCGTTAAAAAGAAAAAGGTATTATAGCGTAGGAACAAGCATCATAGTGATTTAATCGATCGTCAATTTAAGATATTGTTACTATGATTTTTTAGCAATCTCTCAACATTGCAGTTAGTTTAAAATAAAATTGAATATATAAACTTCATAGTTCTTAAATTTTGATTTATGTTTATAAATGAGAAGCTACATCATGATAATAACAAAGATCAAATTCATACAAATGTCGAAAGTTTTTATGAAATTTTCAGATTATTTATGAACTGTAGTCAAATTTCATGACACTAATGCTCAAGAAAAGATTTTCAACAGTTTTATTTTCTTGTGATCTTAACTAAGTTCGAAACATCTTCATGAGTATGACAAGATACGTTGTGATTACAATCCAGAAAAAATCATGATTATTCAGATCTCTGATAGATATCAAATAAAAAAAGAACTATTCGAGTTTATATTATGACAATCACTAAATTCAAAAAAAGAATAAGAAATTGCAATAAGAATAGGAGCATTGGAATGTTCTGAAATTTAAAGCGAATACGAATTTCTCTTTCTCGAGGAAGTAGATTCTACTACTGTATGTTCCTTTAATACACTTTTTTTTTTAAAAATAGTGCATTATGAAAAAGATCACTGTATTGTCACTGAAACTTTTAAATTATTCTAATAACAATAAAATTTATTTATCAACAGAGTTGTTCATTTTGCTTTTTTTTCAGAACTATCTAATTCTTATGGGAAAATTTCAATGATATAAACATAATTCATTACCATAAATAGTCGATTTGTCAAAGATGAAAACAATGTATTTGAAGTCAGAACGCAAAAAAGAAAACAATTCGAATCTCTCAAAATTTGTTATCTAAATTTGATCGAAAACGTCTTGTCAATAGACTCGATTGATACCGAAAACATTTTTTAGTCAAAAAAAGACATTTCCGAACTTTCAACAACTGTTCTTCATCAAACTGTATTTATAATACTTTTAGTATCAATCTACAACAAACAATATCATTACCGTTTTTCAATAATTACCAAATCCCAATTAAGTTTAGCAGCGATTTTTATAGCCAAATGTCTCAATGCTCGAATACGATTATCTTTTAATTCAATATCATCTAAATAAAGATTTAATATATATGAAAATAATTTACACAATATATATATCCTCATACTTGGATTTTCAGTAGCTGTTTTAAGTTTTGTTTTTTGTTCAATTAAATTTGCACTTATTAAAAATTGTATAATTAAATCTGTTCCAGTAATTTCTTCAAAACAAAAACAAATCTTTATGTTTTTTTTAATTTTCATTTCATGAATTATATTACCGAGATTATCTTCTGTTAGAAATGTATCTATTAATGTTGGATTAAGTAAAAATTCAAACCAACTTGTTGTTTGTGAACTTACAGATGATGTAAATTCACTCATTTATATCTTATCTGCAATATTCATATCTTTATTTATGTAATAACAGTGTAAAAAAAAACAAAAAAAAAGAGAAGAAAGTATAACCTTTTTTTTTTTTTTATATATTTCATTATGTCCTCCTTCTGAGAGAGACTCTAAGACAAACGAAGGAAGAGAAAATTTTCATCCAAATACATCATAGAGTAGTTTTCCGGAATACAAAATAACAACAACACGAACAAAAAGACAAAAAAAAAAACGAGCGACACGATACTACAATTGATTTAATTATGTTGAACTACTCTCGAGAGCTTCAGGAAAATGTTCATGATATCGTTCAAGACGAAGGTATTTTGCAATAATTTGACGGCCTTAAATAAAAATCACAAGAAAAAAAATTTTCTGTTGTTTTTTAAAACAAAAATTTTCTTTACCATGATATTTCCAATTATTAAGTAAATGAAAACCTTGAGCAGCTGCTTCTCTTGATGAAAATTTCAAGTAAACAAATATTGAATGTATACCAATATGTTCAATTCTTTTAACTGTTGCACAACGATTTTGAATACTATCAACAACTAGATCGATTTCATCATCGTCAGCAACACTAAACAAGAAAAATTCAAATAAATTTTTTTTTGTATTCTCTAAGAAAACAACGGTGAACACATTATAAAACTATAATTACGAAAATGAAAACAATTAGGAAGGAATAGCTTGATCGTCTGTCGTAGAAGAGCTGGGTCATGGTAAGTTTCGCTACTTTTTACAAACATTTACCCTTCCACTAGGGAGCTGCAGGTCCATGTTTTTCTGGCTCCGGATCCGGTCGGGTTCAAACCCGAGAGTTTTTCCATCAATACCTGTACATGAACAAACGAAGGATCAAGATTTCAGCTATTTTTTCGCTAATCTCAAAAAAAAGCTCAATGTACAGTTATATCTTGTTACTGTATTTCTCATCTGAGGAGCAGCGGGTCCATAAAAACGTGTAATCGGGCCCAACAAAAAATAAAAGGTTGAATCCGACCTCGAAAAAAATTAAAATTATGGACCCGAATCCGACAAAAAAATAAAACTTTGGATCCAGCCAAGATCAACAAGACCTTAATCATCTTTTACAAAATTCAACTATTTTCTTGCAAATAAATCTTCCGCAACGATCTCTGATCATCATCATTATATTATAATTCATACCCATTTGGATCAAAGAAATTTCGTAATTTAAGACATTCTGTAAGACCAACATCAGGTGGCATATAAACATAACTTTCTTCATTTGAATTATGTGGTGATTCCTAAAATAACAAAAGATAGATTCATTTTAAAAAGAGATTTCAAGTTCATTTTAATTAACCGTTCGTTGTTGTCTTGTTGGTGATGGATTTGATGAACGTGGTTGTATCCATCGCCAAACTTCAAATTCTTCACCATGTATTAATTGTGATTCGGCACGTATACGTGATTCATGTTCACTTATTTGTTTTTTAGCTCGTTCCCAAAGATTTTTTAAACGTTTACTTAAATAAATATTACAAAAAAAAAAATTTATATACGAAAACAAAAAAAAAAGAATATATTATTACTAACCGATCTTGTACTGGAATAAGCATATCACGAATATGACTTATAGCAAGCCATGGTTTTACTTCTGGATTATGTAAATGTTCTTCATATTGATTTTCAAGTAAATTAGTAATTTTTTCTATAAAATTTTTATATGTATTTTCACTTTCTTCATTTTGTTTTGAACGTCGTTTAATAAACCAAACTAATGCTAGAAGACCAGTTGTACCTAAACAAAAAAAAATTAAGATTAATCATTTATAAAATTAAATGAAACAAAAAAAAATTCATTACCTAATACAAGCCAAGCTAAATGTTGCATTACTGAATTAACACTTCTACGAGTACGACATAATAATGAATGAATTCCTTCTGTTGCCGCTAATTTGTGTGCACTATTAATATCTTGCACTTGTTCATTTTGATTATTCAATACTCTAAATAGTTCAAAAAAAAATGGATACTATTATTTTTGTTGCATATATCTCTTAGGATTGGTAAATTCAACATTTTCAACTCGAATTTTTCTAATCAAAGTCAAGATAATACTTCAATTGACATGATCATTGTAAGCACATCATCTCAATCGAAAAGCATATTTATATTTAAAGATCTTCCTGCAATCTTAATCCTAACAATCTCAGTATATCTCTACTTATTTTCAAAGATAACATAAACTTACAAGATATCATCAACTGGTTTTTCGAATATATAAGTAATTAATGTTTTCCATCGTTCTTCAGAATTCGATTCAAATTTAAATCCCTATGAATTTTTTGTATATATATATATAAAAAAATCAATGAATTTAATTTTAAATTACTTTGTCATCTAAATATTTATTTATTTCAGGTTTTGTTACATGACGTTCATTTTTTGGACGAAAACGACATTCAACTTCACCTTAAAATAAAAGATATATAATCAAAATATAAAAAAATTTGTTTTTAATCATTTTTTTCATAATCACCAAGTCGAATTTGAAGATGTTTTCGTAGTGAATTAATTATTGGTATCATATCATCACAGTCGGTCTTAAATACAGTATTATCAACTATACAAACAAATAAACAAACAAAAAATCTTACCGCATTATCAGGAGTACAAGTAATTCCTACAATCAGTACAAAAAAAAAACCAAAATCTTAAATACAAAATTCATTAACAAATTTACCTTTATGTCGTGGAATAATATCACCTAATTTATTTTTAAGAACAATAAGTCCACAAGCAAGAATTAAACCAACAAATAAAGCTTTTAATACATCTGTAATAACATTTTTATTTGTTTTCCAAAATAATTCAATTGTTTGTCGTAAACGATTAAACCATGATGGTTGTTTAATCATTTTTTTTAGATCAGTTTTAATTGATGGTGTATAACGAGATGATGTCATTGAATTTGGACGAGTTGATGTTATTGTTTTCGATGGTTCATATTGTTCAGAAGACATATTTGCACTTGCAGCACGAGTTCTATCACGTGCTGAATCAATTAATTGTTGAATTTCACGACGATGACGAGCAACTAAAAAAAAAATCAATAACAAGATTCCTTATAAGGTGCCGAAAATACGAAATTAAAAAGGTATTTATAAATAACTTTCCTAGATTCAGTTTTGAAATTTTTTCTTCTAAAAACTCATTCCAATCGAATTAAAATATATAAATATTTTTGATCAGCTCATCACACTCTATCTAACCATATAAAAAAAAATTCTGCTTTAATTTTTTGTATTTCCAACATCTTATAATAAATTAATAACAAAAATACTTACTTGATTGTTCAACATCAACAGCTACAGTTGATATTGGTAATGTATTTGATCGATCTGAATCTCGTCCTACAGCAATCGAACGTGTTTGAATATGTGTTTCTCGTCCTGGACGACGTAATGTAGAATATTCCGCAGATGACGTATCTGTTTCTGAATCACTTAATTCAATTAAACCATGTTTAGGTCGTGAATGTGTTGTTGTCGATATATTAGCACGTGTACGTGATGGTGAACTTTTAGTTGGTGAACGTGTTCGTGATCGAAGTTGTTCAAGTCGTGCACGAAGTTGTTCACGATTACGTTGTGTTATTGGTGGAACAGTTTCACCATAATTAAGTAATTCTTGACGTAATTGTTGATCAGTTAAAGGCATGTTCTTTTTTTCCTTCTTGGACCTCTTACAAAAGAAACGTTTGTCTGAAATTTCAACAAATTGAAGATACGAAAAAAACCGTTACACAACAAAGAATGAATGTTTTGAACAATGTCTTGATTATCTTTCGTTAAATTAACAACCAATCAGAAAATATGATACTTGAAGTGACATCTGAATTACTTGAAATATCTTTTTTTTTTTGTTTCTTTATACTTCGTTTTAATTTACAGAAAAAAAAAACAAAATTTCATCATTTGTTTTTTTTCTTTAGAATAAAAATCTTTTTTTGTTTCGCTCTGCTGTTATTTTTATGAATAATCCATTGTTCTACACATCCTTTTTTTCTCTTGTTTCGTATTTTCTTAATAAATTAATTAATTATATTTATCAAAATAAAAAATTTATTATTAAAAATATAAATGTAGTTATAGAAAAATTGAATTCAATTGAAAATTTCCATATGACTCGTTCGAATGAATGTGCAAACAAAGTATTGTTGCTGCCATGATACTTGTTTGTCTTTATCGTCGTCTAACATATATTCTGAAAATGAAAAAAAAAGAAAATGTCATTGTCTTAAACAAACAAATCAAGAGTGGGGAAAAAAAAGAAAAAGAGAAGTCGCCATACGTCAAATGAATTTATTTGCTTGCAACAATGTTTCATACCTTGATGTATTCATTTTCAATCTCTTCTAAAATAAAGATAGAAATCATATAGTAGAGAAGCAGAGAGAGAAACATACTAACCGCAGTAGAAAAATATTGTGCGATTGA